AGACAAGTAGGTTGTACTTTTTATTCTTTTCTAACCAGACAGGTTCATCAATTGGTCAGTCTGGTTAGAAAAGAATAAAAAGTACAACCTACTTGTCTGAATAGATATTTCAAAGCTATTCGTGCCTCTTGGATGCTGTGTAGTTGGGATAAACGAGATGAGAGTATTTGAGCAGTCGAATGAGGTGAACCGGAGGCATCTGTCAACGATATTTCACCAGCATCCATAAGTTTTTGTTGTAAGTCGCTAATTTGTTGTGTTTGACATTGAATCCATTCAGTTAGACTGTTCATTTCTTCAATATACATATCATAAGGTTGACCGTCTTCTCGGCAACTTTCCATTTTGGCTTCAGTCGTGCGTAAACGATCACAAAGTGTTTTACGTGAATCCATAAAATGGCTCAAATGATATCTAACAGCATCCATACTGATTTGGATTTCTAAATCTGTTTTGACCCAAGCACGAACTCGTGCAGCCAAATCGAATCTAATTAATTGGATAAGAATTTAGATAGTTTAAACTATGGAACGAACATTTACACTGAAAGTCACAAAAGAAGTTGTGCTTATAAAAGAACTGAATATAACAAATACCGACATGCACGTAGTACAAGTATCTGGTCAGCATAATAAAACTCGAAGCCTGACACGCGGAAATCGATATATCATGGGTTAACTGTATGTACTCAAGTATCTTATTGAGAGAGTGATGATAAACTCAAAAGCGAATAGAGCTGAGATCAAGCAAAATGTAGAGAAATTTTGAATGATGACGGTGAGTAACACATTCTGATATTGATAAATCAAATTCAAAGGTCGGTATTTTTTCACCGAGTTTACAACACTAACGTAAATATGCAATATTTTGAAGAAACATACCATGAGCATATAATTAGTATGGACATATATCCACATCCAGTTACATACAGGTTAGTCGTGTTTCAGTCTAATCTACATGATAACTGTAAAATGCACAGAACAGATAACTAGTCATAATTCACCACTGAAAAGTAAATGATTTTCCAGGAAATAGTGAAAATAACATCATATCAAGACGCTCTTCGACGCATTAATTAACCTGATATATTTGTGTGTTTCTGTTTAATTTCGATAAGTAATAGGGACTTAATGATATGCTAATCTAGAATTAATGAAAACACTCATATCAATGTATATTTTTAACCTAAAGAATTCGCTAGTTATTTCTTTTTGAAAGTGTACAACATCATGTTCGGTAATTGCATCAAGCTAATTCCATCGTTTATGATGTCAAACATGTGGAAAGGCAAGCCTCGAAATAAACTAGTGTTAGATCTCAGTAATTCCCCCGAAATGAAATTCGATAAATAAATAGCAAAAGAAATCGAAATAATCAAATGGTAATGATAATAAGAAAAACTAAGTACTGAGAATATTTAGGGAGTTGCATCCTCGCAGCTGGGTGATTTAATCATGGGGCTTTCACAGTCTTTCTTGATAACACGAACTTCAGATAGAGGTGAGCTATCGGAATTTCTCTAAATGACCTATCCTGTCAGCTTTGCTCTTGATTGTTGTCAGTCTTTGATCGATCATTCCTTATGTGTTCGCCTTGATTTATTATAGCTTCAAATGAGTGATAAATTGATTCTGTTTTGAAAAATCTCTTGACTACAAATTGACCTGAGAACTGAGATTCTAAATAATTTTCTGGCCTTCCTTGTGTTGCCTCAGTCCAAGATACCGTTCCACAGTCAAACGCGTATACGCAATTGCCATCATACATTGACGTAAATGAAAATACGTCGTGACCTTTAACACGTAACTGGTGTTCATGTAAACAAAGAGTAAGATCGGGGCTATCGTGCCAGATGTACTTTTTATTACAGTTGGAGCAGTCTATTTTTTACATGATATCCAACTTATTTTCTTAGATTATTTCATTTTATGGTTTGTATAATATTTATCGAAATTATTTTGCAGGTTTATGAGCCATACCTATACACTAGAGAGCCTCAAAAATCAGGTTGTACTTTCTGATGTCCTTCATATATAGTAAAATAATCGGCTTGTGGATTTCTATATTAGATTTTGAGCTTGTTCATGAGTTTTATAGATATTTCTTAATATTGCGTGGACAGCTGTTCTTTTGGAAAAATCACCAGACATTTTTCTACATCTAGCTTCTTGGCGACTGATTCCTACTATGACTAACATTGAGCACTGTACACGGATTCTAAACTAGGACTAAATGACTGAATCCCCGATTTTTCGAGTTAATAATGTTTGTGATAAACAGTAAATTTGAAGATATTCTGACCAAAATTTATGCCAGTTTTAAACAATCATATAAAGCAGATAGACGTGGATATTATAGTTTATATCATGGCCTATCCTTAGATGGACAATCGTTTAAAAAGCCAGAAAGTATTTGAAAGTTGTTTGGTACTAGAATGGGACGCAATGAGCATCCACGACCACACCGAGGATTAGGCTTAAGAACTTAAAGTCTCGTGACAAGTGCTTAGCTTTTGGACTAGTCCTTATTCAACAGTTTTTAATTTTTCATATTATTCAATAAGCGATATTGAGCAACTATCTAGCAACACCTTATAACCTATACAAGTGGACCCGACTAATCCACGACCTTCACTGGAATTCTGGGAACTACCTCTCGACGTTAGTCGCTAGTGAGAACAAGATTGTTATTATTAGTATAAGGGACAAATGTACATTCATTCACAAAATAAAATACTTTCTTACTTTTTAGCATTGTTCCCTTCAGATACACATTTATCACGTTCATTTCTAATAGCCTTTTGACGTAATAACAATTCTTTAAGTCGACGTTCAGCAGCCGCAGCAGCTTCAATACGGCGCTTTAATACAGCTTGTTGCCGTTCGTGCACTGAAACCATACGAGACATTTCACATTGAAGCCGGCGATCATGTTCTTGAAGTTTTGTCACCTACATAAAATGATCAAAATTATATCACAAAAGCTTTAAAAGATTATCTGAATAACAGTCGGAGCGTGTCTTATTAAATAGGATTTCTTGAAACTTATAATTTAAACATTTGACGAATAAGGTGATTTAAGTGACTATTACGCATATTCAGCCCACTAAGAATAAATTGAAGTGTGATAAAATAAAGTGGCACGATGAATTTACAAATTCTAGGGGTTATTGAACTTAGATTGGCTAGTAGGCAAAAACTTGTTAGTAAGGGGATTCACAGTGTAATCATGATTTAGTTCAGTCAGTCAGCTATAACATATGACCAGGTACATATATGCATCGATCCAAGTTGCCATAATTACTTAGCACAACAAGATCAACACCGAATTCATAGAAGCAGTTACTTCAATGGTAGTAATATATTCGACAAAAGATTGCGTATAAGGATATGACACAGGGATAAATAATTGGTTCGTACAAATAAAGTAAAGAGTCCCAATCACACAGGATTGTAAACACTCTATGCTGATATATGGGGGATAACTAGAACAATAAGTAAAGTAGGTTTTATTCCTGATCATCTCTACAAGTATCACACCTTGATATAGAGATTTTGATACGAAAATCAAAAGAATAACAGATTAAGTGGAAGGATAAGCAAAGTGATAAATATATCCAAAAAATCATTTCACCACGAACTTACTTTATTCGACTCATTATAAAGTTTTATCAATCCAGTTTGGATGTTTTTCAATTGTTGAATATAACTAATCAGTTCAGGATATTCATTGAATTTATCTCTAACAAATTGATTTAAGGAGCTGTAATTATATTTTTTTTGTTAAAATAAATATCAGAAATTACTTGAGAATTGATTCGATTTTTTGGAGTTCAGAAATTACTGTATCATGTAAATGATCAGTATCGAAACGATTTTTGTATAATTCATTCATTTGTTCGACAATATGATCTAATTCTGCACAAAGCAGAAGCTTCTCACTCTATAATAAATGATTATTTTTAAAATAAATACATGTATAAGTTAAAAATCTATTTATTACGGCAATTTGATTGGGATAATAAGAGGGGTAAGCTATTGAATTAAAGCGTTAAACAATTGAGCCTCTGGTTCAAACCTCGTTCCACCTACATCAATTTGGGCAAGCAGGAGGTATTATTAGTCTTCACACTTAGAGTATAGTTCATACCGAATTATCTGATGAATGCAATAAATTTATTCACAGGATTTATAGTTTTCGTGATGAAATAAAAAAAAAACTGATATAACTGCGATATAGAGGTATAACTCGAGAAATTTATTAGAAAAGTATTCAATCAATACCCATCAAGTTAACAATTCGGTACATAGTTTAGTTACATGATTAATAGGCTATTTTTATGTCACAACTATATAACAACTAGCACAGGACATTGAGGGACGTTCCGATCAGTTGTCCGATGCAGACTTAGTGACACTTAGGTTTAACTTATTGGCGTATATAGACCTGATTTATTGTCTGAAGGTATCGAATATTTAGCTATCTTCATCATTTATGTGAATTTTCTATTGATCGTGTTAGAGAATTTCAATGAACGTTATTTAGAGAACGGAGTTGAAAAACACTGCAAATCAATCTATACAGTTGGAAAATTCTTTAGAATTCTAGAAATCGAATGCACTTGATGTCCTTCTCTAATCCAAATTATCAATAATTTTAACATATTTCCTGACAGTATCTATGACTTCAGGGTCGATGATACTAATCCGGGAAATAACCCCTCATTTTCGTAACTACAACAGAATTGAAGGTAAACCACTTGTTGCATTCATTTTTCTCCAATTTTGTTCACTTTTCAAGTTTAACACCCATGAGGGCATAGAAACTGATCAGTGATCATCACAAGTGTTCAACGCACCAGAAATTTAGAATATCTGATTATGATTGTCTTGGGGTCATGATGCAAAACTTGAAAATAATAATCACAGAAATTTTTAATCCAGAGATAAAGTAAATGAATAGAATATAGTGATTATAACAACTTGATACAACTTACTAACCTCTAACTTTTTATTTTTATTCATGAGATTTGTAACTAATTCTGAAGAAAAATGACTGTTAGTAGAATTATTATTAATCGTAGTAGTAGTAGTAGTAGTAGATAATGGTTTAATAATTGTTTTCGGACAAGGACTGAGTAATGGAAAACAAGAGGAATTGTTAGCTAATCGTGCTTGTAATTGAGCAACCAAAACACGCAGTTTAGCAAGTTCAGCATCTTTAGGATCAGCACGATTTAAAATTGGTTTATTTTTAATTAAACGTGCTCGATCTGAATATCTGAAATAATACAAATACATTACTACAAATTAAGAGAGAGAATAATGATTGAAATATTGGAATAACTGATTTTAAATTAACTTACATATAGTTTAGCCCCATAGGTTAATAAATAAAACATGACCACTTAGGAAAGTTATGGAATAACTTAAATTAAGAAAAAAAAAGAAATAGCCAAGTGATTAAAGCCGCTGAGTGGTTAGTCAGTCAGAAAATATTCATTGACACAAATAGCCATAATGAATATTAACAGGAAATTAGCAAGATACACAACAAGGTCGGAGTAATAGTAGTAAAACTATGACCCGACCGTAGCAGCTACATTGATGCGGTGGCTGGGGCTTTTCTATTGTGAGGACTCAGTCAAGATATATTGGCTAGAAAATTTATTTTTGAAAGTCCTAACACGTTAATCTGATTAACACAGTAGTGGTAAGACCAAAAAATTCAGGTTTTGGAGGATGGAAGGTGAGATCAAATGGTTGGCTACACTGGAGTTTGGGGCTAGTAAGGTGTCCAGCAAAAACCACCATCCTCAAGGGTGTTGCCTTCCCATGATGCAAGGAGTAGGAAAATCTTGACTTATGTCTGAAGGTTTTACGGCGACGGTAGTGAAGCATTACACAACTCACTTAAAAATTAGCGTCTAGTACTTGTGTTGGGACCCGAGAAACAATGAATGGTAACTTGGGATCCTTTTATGAACCAATACTAAACGTATATTTTTATTGTATAATTATTAAATAACTAAACTGTTTATATTCATGTTCCTCTTGTTATAAGCTTTATTTTGACTTATGAACCATTATTTTATGTTTTACCATTCTTGAACTATACCCAGTGTATTGATTACTACCTCCCTCATTCACAGCCACATCTGGCCAATTCTTGTACAAATGTTGTTTCATATTTTATTGGTACGTTGTGTTCGGTTTGATTGGTATATAAACTGAGTATGTTTGAAAAATAATGATTCATATCGCAGAAGCTGAGACTTGTGTTCTAGACTTAACTGGCCGGGTTAGGCAGAAATCGGGACTCTAGGTTGTTATCACGTGTTTTACGCGTCTTTTGTCCGATCGATAAGTCACTGCTCACTAAACGGCGGTCACAAGTTATAACAACTTGTCTTTTGAGATTTGCAGTCACGCCCTCAGGTCGACAAGGCCGTCTCCACTCCTTTAGCTTCTATTTCAGATTCCTAACTAGATTGCCATCCACGATGAAGACAAACGGGAAGTGTCAACAATTCACACTATAAGAACGCATGAGTTAATAATGTCCAGAACGAAATCCCAACTCCTAATGTTATTTTATATTTTTACTATCACTATCTCTTTCTGTAAGACATTGGTATTGGAAGAGACTAAACGTAGGTAAAATGGTTTGAAAAGGAATGAATTAGCAGAATAAAAAGCATGAAACGGTACTGAAGCTCACGATCTACATGAAGATAGACGATGGATACATATGCACCAAAAATACAATTGAGTTTTAGTGATGTCGTACAAGGTCTTCGATCATTGGTCGGTCAATTTCACCTACTTTAATTGAGCATCTGGATATTACTACTCAGACAAAATGTATGCTTTAAAGCCGAGTACATGGACTTGTACTTGGTAAATTGAGTAACACTATAACAAACCACTGAGTAAATTAACTGGCGGAAAACTAAGTGTTGGTTAAAAGAGTTGAAACTAGAAATGTTTGCAGAATAATACAGATCACCGAGCAGACCGCCCCATATCACTATGCTAACATCGCTAGTCGAGGGTGTCATATATTATGTAGCTTTAACATTTTATTTCGCAGAGAAAATCGGCGAGATTCTATAATTCGAAGTACGGGTCGCGCATGCTGAACAACGGACTGGATAATGTTTAGGTTGAATATCAGATATTGAGTTAAAAAGTGGTTGGCCAGTGTGATGACGGCCCACGGGTGAACTCAAGGAAGTCCTAAGGAGCTCAAAAAGAGCCGGAGATATTCCATACAATCACCTTTTGGAAGAACACTCCAGAGTCTCGACGTGTAGCTTCTCTATTGGACAAATGCTAAAGAGCACTGTATGCGGGATTGGATGATTATAATGATGACTTCACTTTTACTAAAAACTATAAATACCTGAGTTTTGTACCATATTTGACACTGGAATAATATTCCTTCTCACTCGTCTTGTCATTTGCGACTTGGAAGGTTCTAGGGTTCGAGTGCTCACGTAGTACGCGGTATATCAAGTATCTAAGTTCTAGATATAACAACCAGGATATTAAGTTCATCCATTGAGGTAGTCATGGTATGTATTACGCTAACCCAACCAATTTCTTCGACATCCGGTGATATTTAGGGGACGTCAAACAGAAATTTGATACCAGCCCATAAACTCTATTATTATCGGACTATCGTAATCCAAATCAATGGTGCACATGGGCTCCAGTATCCTGCGGGAACAGATGGCGTATGAACCAATTGTTGGTCACGGGCTTCCATGGGACTGCATCTCCTTACGATGCTCCACTACCGTGTGGATCAGACATTCAGGTCGAAGGCTCGGGGAGTGGCCTCCTAAGAAAACCACCTGCTTCGGTTTGGGCACCCGAGCAGTATCACAGCCCTCACACATATCGAATGAGATTTGTGTGGCGCATATGTATTTGGTGCCTCCTTGTATCAATATCTATGTGTTAAAATAAAAATAAATAAATAATCCTAGGTGCGGAGAGTGGCCTTCACCCGTCTTTTCTAGTGTATAAATACCTTACGTCAAACTTCAACACAAGTCAGAATAGGTTGAGCTTAGCAACAACATAAAGGTGAATTAAATATGGAATATACAACACTGAAACAACAACTCACCGAAGTGTGTTCAATGTCTCTTCCATATTTATATCTGCAGGACTAACACAAGCAAGCATTAATGTGGTACTATTCCCGCCCAACGAATCTTGAAGTAGGCGAGTTAAACGTGAATCGCTATATGGAATATGCGATCGTTCCTTTTCGTCCCGTTCGCATAAAGCACTTATTACATTACCAAGGGCAAGCAATCCTCTATTTATATCGATACCTATCGGAAATGTTTAAAGAATAACACCATATCAACTGGGCTAAACAAGTTAATTAAAAAAACTACAGAGATCCTTAAAACTAGTAGTCACCTAACTCACTCACCAATTTAAATTTTAAGCAGAAAATCATTCTGTATGATAAGGAAATTTCGTTGAGCGAAGCTTCAAACTATATGGTTTAAATTAAATGTGGTCAGTGACAAATCTTCACTCTTTTTCTCACTCAAGGTTACAAAATTTAAATATATTACACCTAATAATTTAACGCTTTTTTGTAAATCTTCCATTGTTAATTTTCTATTATCGCTATGTGTTGAATTGACTCGCTTACACCGAACTCGATCTTAATACAGAGAAGACAGTAGTGACAGGACATCAGTAAACTATACACATCTACTTCCATCGGCCGTCTCAAAGAGTTAATACAGAACAAACTCCTACACTGGATACACACCCCTCGATAATAGTTGGATGTTTCTCCAGAACCACGAATTAAATGGCTTAACTACTTCCAAACGAGTTGCCTGTATCCCTAATTGCACTTCGTTAATCTAACACTTAAATACGTAAAAAATATGACACACTTAACTTTTTCACTCTGTAATTTAAGAAAAGTAAGGAGAGTATTCCAGGAACATCACCCTACATTCGACCGGTGGGAGAAAACATAGTATCTAGTTTCATCATTAAAGAGTAAAATTTTCTACAAACGCTCATACGCTTTGCAAATGACAACAGGGCCTTTGATAGGATAGCAATTTCGTTTAACACCCTTGTCGAAGATAATCTCGTGAAACTTTTCAATCGACTGAGTTAAATGACACTCACATGTTAAAGAGCATAGTCCATAAGTATGGGGATGAATCCTACTGTGTCAATAACACATTGCTTACTACCTGGGCCTTTCCAAGCGTAACCAAACCTGATGTGATGAAAAAAAATTGAATGTCGAGTAACTACTAATTGGTCTGTTTGGCAAGACAAATGAGGACTATATTTATGTCGACCACGTAATAAAAAAACAACGCCACCAAAAGATAACAGTAGAAATATCCAAAGATACGTATATAATACACATACCTTCTTTAAGTCGGTCACCTTCAGCATGTGTTTTCTTAATTCGTTCAGACCCAGCTAGGTCGACTAAATGTAATTTAGCTGTTAATGTATCTTCTGTATTCTCCCCATTCATCTCTGTTATCTTTGGCCGCAACAAAAAACATAGAGTAAGAATGGCATGACTGCGACTGGATTTTAAGTTCATCGCTGTACTCGCAACACTTCTTTTTGTTGAGCCACAGTGAAGAAGATAAAGAACTTCTTCCGGAGATGTGACCACTGTCTCAGTTAGGCCTGGGATCTATGCAGTAAACTCTAAATACGCAGTGAGGAAATACCTTAACAAGTTGATTCTCTTCACGTATTTGTAAGGATGCAGATACATCTTCGCCTAACAGATCATGTATATCCTCTTTATATATCTGGGAAATAACTTAATACAAAAATGTGTATATTACCTCCACGAATGAAACCTTCACTGTATATTCATACTCATAATTTGGCATTCTCTCAAATAAATCCTTAATAATCCGAGGAACAATACCAGCGGATTCTTCTACCACACTTTCAGAGATACATGTACCCATTGTATATGTTTTCCCACTTCCAGTTTGACCATAGGCAGAGTAGCATTATATCCTTTGAGAATACTTTCAACCATTGGAAGTGCAGCCTTTTTGTAAACATGCTCTTGAGAATCTGTTTCCTTGAAAACATAGTCAAAGCCAAAAAGCCTGTCATTTCCAATTATTAGCTGATTTTCTTCATTTGGGTATGACAAACAGGTCGAACTCCCGTCATTCACTTCACTGTTTGACAATGGTCGAACACGAACACCAACTTTTACACTTGTGTCGCCAATTTCCATTTGTACAGGGTACAGAAGTATCAAAGCGATAAGAGCTGTTGACAGATAATAATAAATCCCTAGCTATAGAAGTTTTTAAACAAAACTTTCAATGAAAAACAATAACATCAATCGGAATGTTTTTGGTACATAACAGAATACAAGACATCATTTGGTGGCTACAAACTATCAGGAACATAGTAACTCATGAAAACTAAACATATCTAATTGTCGACGTTTAATAGGAAAGAATGCATTTATGTGAGAATTGAAGTAACAGAGAATTATATAACATTCCACTCGAGAAAGTTTAACTGCTGAAAAGTTTGTAAAACCTGAAGGAAATGTGAGCTTAAATTATGTGTAAAATATATTGAACATGGACTGTGCAAACACTCGGTTTTATAAATGACAGTTCTCTATATTTTTTAGGTCGATTTTCAGTATTACGAAAAACCTGCTTTGTCTCAAAGCATTTGCTAAAGAAGTTCGTGATCACAGCCAAAGTAAAATTAAAGGTTTCTAATAGAACATCACTGACATAAGAATGACAAACAAACATATACATGTAAGCTCTAACTTACTAGGAGGATAATTTGGTAGTTAAGGTATCCTACATTTACTTACCAGGTCACATATTTGTGCATCGCTCCACCTATTTCAGTTTGGGCAGCATTATAATACATCATACCTGAAGTGTGGCTTAAGGACGAATATATGAGCATGTACTCAAACGATCAAATTAAGACAACCGAACTCAAATTTGTGACCAAACACAAGACCACCTACTTTTTTAAGTCATAATGTTAGGGGAAGAGGCACCATCCGCGTAGCTCAACTTACAAATATTTCTGGCCTAAATTAACTATTTCACCGACCTACTAGGCTATGTAACTTAGTGTGTATCGCGTTATAAATTCAATAAATAGGCGATCCAATGACTATATGTGTGTGACAAAATATGATTATTTTGTAATTATGTGGCTTTTGTACGAAATAATGATTCTTTTGTATTTTATATTCCGCTGGTTACGAATTCCAAATGTAATATGTTCGTTTGTGCCCTTCTAGTTCTACTTGCTGTAAATTGCACCATTTCTGGAATTCTTAGTAAGCACGTCAATTAGAATAATTCTAACCATTATATCGACGTCGCGATGGATACTTTGATAGAATATTTGAATGTACATTCAATCCTGACGTTTTCGAATATTACATGGAAAGGTCTGTAATCTGAAGCCTAACCAGGAAAGAAGTTAAGGATGTTAAAATGACGGCTAATTTCCTCACATTCAATGGAAAGGATGCTTATAGCTTATTATAAACTTTAGCATTCCCAGATAAGACTGTTTCACATCTCTATGCAACTATCAAAGAACCACTACAAAATCATGTAGAGTGCACTAATTTCTAATGCTGTGTAAAGGCGAAATTTCAAAGACGATTTACAGGATAACCAAAAGGTTAGAGAAATTACCCTTGAGTTGCAGATATAATCCCTTATGTGTGATTTTGGTGATCAACTGCATGTGCAGATGGAAGATCAATTAGATGCAGGAATTAACATACCAAATCAGGAAAGAGAGCTATTACAAATGCAGCAGCATTCCTTCCACGATGCTAGAACTGCGTGTATTAGTTGTAAGGCAATGCATGTAATTGTTCTCCAGGTCATCTATAATCCCAGTGCATTGCTTAGTTATCCTAATCCGATGAGTACACTGCCCTTATTTACTACTTCGAGTAATGCACTTCATTTTCAAAGACGAATGTATTTATCCAGTGTCGCTTTTCACGATGCCCTAACCCTAACGTTAGGTGCCTTCGAATGTGCCCGCCTTTTCGTTTCAACGACCTTGAACGGCTTGACTAGAGGCGGTCATTCTGTATTTTAATTGCCGTGGGTTGGTTGGATTGCTTGATTATAAAGGTTTTTCATCTTATGCTGCATACAAAAGCACGAAATAAATACCAAAACCATTAATTTAGCATTCTCTGCTTTGTAGTGTACACTTTGGCTCTGTTGTTGCTTTGTAATTTGATCTTTGATCCCAACAAGTGTAGTAAAGCTCAACGGAATGTCAGGCCACAGGTAAATCCTAAGTATTTGTAGTATTTCCTTGGGTTATTATTGTTGCAAGGGATAACTTTTTAATAATTAGTCATGTCTGTTTTTAATGCTTCATGCTCAATTGACATTTCAGTCGACCTCACCGATGCCTCTCGAAGTATGATACTGAACAAGCGTTTCGTGTTGTGGGATGATTTTGAAAGCGCCTTAAAAGAGTTCCAAAAAGTATGGAATAATAATTTTATCGCTTCTCAGACTACTTATACTCGTTACATCCACACGGAAAGCAGATTGCTAAAGGATGTCAGGTTCAAATACCTGTTTGTAACGTTTAAGTGTACGTTTGGTCATTAACGGAAATCGGAAGGTTTGAAAGTGAAGCAAAAATCGTAAGGTCTTTAACTAATATCTTATGTTTAAGGTCTAATTTCCGTAATTGTCAATCTAAATTCCGTGTAAGACTAGAGGAGCAAGGATATGTCATCAAATCCTACAACATGCTCCACAATCATCCATGTAGTAGTTCATAGATGGTATGTGATCCATGGACAAGGAGATTATCATCAGAAGAAAAAGAGAACTTGAAGCCCGTAATACTTTACTGTGAGTCAGCAGATGAAGTTATCGAAAGTATTAAGGAGAGAACTGGTAAGCAAGTAACAGCTGCTGATGTCAAAGGTATGAAAGCTACACTCTCCACTGGTAAGTGTATATAAATATATTTCAGGTTATTTTACCCGGAAGCAGGTAATGGATATGCTGAGACAGAAAGGCGAAGTGAGAGAACATTTAGAAAATGGATATGTCACGAGAACATGTTTCAGTAGTAATGACCAAATACAACTGTACAGGAAATATCCAGAAGTTTTGTGCATTGATTCTACGTATAATACTAATAATAAAAAGTGAATATGTTTATCGTTGTATTTTACTATGTAGATATTCGTTATTCTAGTTAGTGGTGACGGATAATTGGGGTCGAGAACGAACTGTAATGTTTGCGTGGACACGAAGGGAAAAGCCTGCCGATGTGAGGTCGGTACCTGTCACGTTTTTGGATGGCACGTAAGACAATATGGGCGCGTGCGTTTTACGGTCATGTTTTAACATTGGGTAACAGCACGAATAATCGTGTTGAATCGCTAAATAGGCAAATAAAACGATATGTACGAAAAAGTGATAGTCTGTACAAATGTATGTACAAGGCTTTAAAATGGATTGAAATGACGTCAACTAGAAGAAGTATCGAAGATCAAGTAATAGCTGGAAGATCTTATAAATATAATGCTCCACAGCGTCTTATACCCTTGCTAAACATTTTGACCCCATTCGCAAGATCTAAAGTGTTATACGAACTTAAACAAATGCGTTTCGTCTACGTGGAATATGAAAGCTGCGACTGGTTGTTTATGGTTGACCGCGGACAACATTATGAAGTGGATGTAAGAATCTGTCAATGCAATTGTAGCACGTTTATGATGTGTCAATATCCGTGCCGTCACATGCTACTTGCCAACGTTAAAAGACGAAGTCTAACAGGTAAGCTATATCAATTATGAAATACTAACTGCATAGCTCATCAACTTCTTAGGTGTTGTAGCAGATGGAAGTTACATAATACCCAGAACTTCCAAAATAATACATTAACTGCATTACCACGACGGAGTGAAGTGTATATAAGTATTCAACGAAGCCAAAGAATCCATAAGCATCGCATCATTGAGAAGTATGGTGAAGGTTTCGCAACGGAAGTTGAGAAGACAGTGGACAATTAATACTTAAGAATTCTTAATACCAACTTGTAAACTTGATTTTCTGCTTTAGCAGCATTGATTATTCAATAAACTTCTTCATAATTTTAATTTTCATCTTATTCCTACTTTCATGGGAATGAATAGCAATGATGTTCATGTGTAACTGCCTGTAATAATTAAGAAAGATTAAGAAACCCTACATCCACGTACAGTCTTGCAGATTAGGCACCCACATATCATATTCACCTTCGTCGGATTACGTTTATCATCAAAATATTATCAGTAGCTAAGTAGATTTTAACTTCATGTGATTAGTTCCGCTTATTAATTAAAATGAAACCATGAGAAATGTTGATTAACAGTGGTATGCATTCATTATAACTAAATATGCATTAGGATTTAACAGTGATATGGGAAGTAGTTGACATACCTGAAAATGAATAATTGAAATGACGTATATGAAATGACATATATATGTATATATATATATATATATATATATATAATATATATATATATATATATAAGGTCAAAGGTCATTTGTTTTTACAGTCAATAAAACATTAAGAATGGGTGGTGTAATAGTGGACTGGAGTTCATAGACAGATAAGTGGTGTGAAAATCTTATGGCATATAATTGATCCGTGGATTTAAGAACTGAAAACTTGGGTTACGTAATAATTGATTACAATTTGAAGAGATCACATAATTACAGAGGATTAAGTGAGTAGATGTAAGTGACAATGTGCTGGAATAAATCTGTAACTAAATTTTAAAAGTGAAATAAATTATTACATAATCCATCTTATTACTTGTTCATTCCATGGATTATAAGGAGTTCATATTATTCTCTATCTCTATTTGTTCTAGCGTCGTATCGACTATTAATAAATACGGACACGGTTTATAAAGTAAGACAATGAGTGTAGTTGCTAAATATTCATTAGTTGAATAAAAATGCTACTAGGCAATACGGGACACAGTTAACGTGAACTTGTAAACCGGTTTTTAACATGGTCTTCCATAATCACAAATTCCATAAGTTGTAGACCGGCGTAAACATCATAACAAAGCTTTGACGACTTTAATGGATTCATACAATTCTGAAAAAAAAGCAGTCGTGAAATAAAGAATTAGACTTAGTTATCAGTATCACATTCAATAAGTCCATCAAATAGCAGGTTACAGAATGTACCTATAAGTTTTATTTGCAGACAGGGTTAATCATTAGAGATTTATATTTCCTTTAATAAATAATAATAGGTAATCTTTACAACACATATCAGTGTTATTTACAAACTGCTCCCTTTATAACCAGTGTTACCTCCGGACACTCTGGGGGGAGCTATGTGGAGATAGATCTGACAAGCTTATTTTGTAAATAGTTTTTAATATTATTTGTATTTGTCAATTTCTCACTGAATGTACATTTATCATTAAATGACTGTACGTGTTGTTTTAGTCAACGACCTTGAACACTTTTTCCGTTGTAATCCCAACATAGCGTGACACACATTTTCGGTTGTTCACAAATACACTACTACGCACATGCCCATTGTTCTATTCTCGCTCGTTACCAAGTCAATTGCGTTCTAAACTGGATATTATCCTCATTTTAGACTGCTGTGTCATTTCCATTATATCCTACGTCAAAGAAACTTATTGGCGACATATTTACCTCTGTGGAATTATTACGCATTTATAATTGTGGATTTATGGGACCAAAACTCAACAGAATACGCAACCACTAGCCGATTTAAGTAACGTCCCTGAACTTTTAATTTGTGTTGTTAATTTATAAATGATTATTGTTACATTAATTTTGGACGTAATAACTTTATCACTGATTTTTGGTTATTATACGTTTTGGTCCACCACAAGAGGTACAAATTCTATGAGCTTCCAAATGCCCTGGTACGGCCGAGAGTGGGGAGAGTTCGCTCTCCCTCTCGAAATGCTCTCACATGGCCACGCGTATATAGCCTCTGCCAGAGAAGTCCTACTCACTGCCTTCTCGTGGCGGGGGGTGTTGCTTACGAAAATGAGAGGACGAAAAGCGAATGTCCGGCGCTTTAACCGGATTCCAAATCAATGGTGCACATGGGCTCCAGTATCCTGAAGGAACAGATGGCGTATGAACCAATTGTTGGTCACGGGCTTCCATGGGACTGCATCTCCTTACGATGCTCCACTACCATGTGGATCAGACATTCAGGTCGAAGGCTCAAGGTGTGGCGCCTTAGGAGAACCACCTGCTTCGGTTCAGGCACCCGGGCAGTATCACACCCCTCACACATATCGAATGAGATTTGTGTGGCGCATATGTATTTGGTGCCTCCTTGTACCAATATCTGTGTTAAAATAAATAAAGAATAAAGTCCTCTTAAAGAGACACCTAACCAGACCTCTTTTGCATTGCAGTGAACAGAAACTATGGAAATTTAAGTATTGTCCCGTCCAGATTGGTTTCCTTCACACTGACCGTCTAATAGTGCCATCATCCCTTCGACTTAAAAGTATGTCTAAAAAGGCTAATTGGCCATTACTTTCTGATTCATATGTCATCACAATATCATCTTGAACACCATTGAATTTATCCAATAATCGGTAAACATCAAAGTCCTTATCACATATAATTAGAATATCATCCATGCATCTTCTATATAGAGTTGCCGCACTAATAAGCTCGCTCGTCATATTTTCCCACATATGACATGAATACATCAGCTAAGATAGGCCCAAACTGTTTTCTTAGAACGGAATTGTCTCTTTGATTGAAATCAGGTATACATATATCGTACATATTCTATCTCTTTATGGTTCTGACGTGAGCTATTTCATACTTCCTGTACGTTGAATCATAACTGTCAACCATTTACTCCTTGACATGGAAACGTGAATTGAGATGTGATATAAAGTGCGTTCTGGGTGGGCAATTCATGAGTGAGTTCACTTTACAGTTTAATGTCGAAGTATTTGCTTAACAATATTTGTACATATTCATAGTGATGTTAAAAAGTTATTAAATAAATTCATTTTTATTTCCATTAATCAGTCAAAATCTAATGCAGATTCACATACACGTCGATGTAAATGCCGAGGGACATGTCAAGCACGGTTTAGTTGTAGACGTTCTGGTCGTCCGTGTGTCCCATTGCGTTGTTACTGCGTTTCAGGTCTATGCAAAAATCGTTCAGATTCATCATCGCAAAACAGTCAAATAGTCAGTTCAGTCGAAAATCCTGCAACTGTTATGGGACCACCATCTGGATTTCCCGTTATATTACGTCCCAAACGTAAAACTCGTGCATTATAAATTTGATTGAAGAACAACAAAAATAAACATATGACTCACACACTGATGAATGAAACGTATAGTTTAAACAAACAACAAACTTGTTCATCCATATCAGAAAATAATGATAATGATGATTTACCATCTCCAACTGACAATTCACAACTATCTGACGGTGGGTCACTTCGTTATTTATGGCCTAAAAATCGTTTATCTTATTTTCCCAGTTCACTATTGCGTTCAGACAGATAAACGTTTTCTACCGGCCAAAAATCTCCCAGAAATGTACTTCACCATCCTGTCTACATTGGTTTCCTTTCCTAGTTTAGAACACTTGTACGTGGTTTCTGTGTGTGGACGCTATTATTTTATCTCTTTCCCCTTCTTCTATCCAGTTTATATATATATTTGTTGCTTACGATAGAACCAGTAGGATAACATTAATTTGTGTGTTGTGTTTCGCTTCTTTATTTTTCACAATCGTAGTCCATTTCATTATGTATATTACAGCTTCGATATCGTGATTTGTTGTTCATAAATGAATAAATACACTAAAACAATCGTTGTGAAACCGTTTCTGGTTTTCTCTTGTAATTACAGGTTGATTTTTCCTCGTTTCCTCTAAACTTCATGTTGGCGCTTATAACGCTGAACACTGTACCAAATAGAACGACAAGCTTCCATAGCTAGGACTTCAGAATCTCGCGCCATCGTTGTGTGCTGCGTCTCCGAAACGCGCATGCAGGACCAGAGTAGCGTCATTCATTTGACATCACCATGTCACAGTAACGAACCAACTCGATTCATAGGAAACTTGAGAAGAAAGTAAATCTTAGTAACTGTGAGAACCACAAAGAAAGGGTTACACCATTGTCAAAGCCAGGCAAAGTTTGCAACAGAGCGTAACTGAAACGAGCGAAGGATTCAGTAGTAACTCAACCTAGAGACCAGCGTGAAGACTTTTATAAGTATCGATTACGTACGGGCCGAATCGAGATATTACAACTCAATGTTGAACAATCAATCGAATGGAACTCATCGCTGTACAGTAACTTCCTTGATTATGAGAAAGGATACGAAAGAGTGGATTTTTTCAAAAATATGGAGTGCCTGAAGAGATTTTCATTTTTATACGGAACTCATACGAAGTACTGAATTGCGAAATTGTGCAGGGAGGGTAGCTCACAGATGTATTTCAAGTGAAGACCAGTGTCAGACAAGACTGGTTACTCTCGTTTTTCTTCTTTTTTTCCAGCTGCTGACTGCACTATGAAGACCATAACATATCTGGGGATGCACGGAATACAGTGAACACCTTAGACTTTGTAGATGACCAAGTACTATTATCCCACTCCTAGCAATAAATTTAGGCGAACACAGCCAGTATAGAGGTGGCATCAATAGAAATGGTGCTTAGCATTCACAAAGGAAGAAGCAAGTTCATAAAGATATTTGGCGATACTTTCAATGATCCATTATACTATAAATGACAAGTATTCTCAGGAGGATAAGTGTAGTGTAGCCTAAATATTGTTAAATGGTATTGATGATCTTAGTTCCTTTACTTATTAAACAAAATATGCACTTGATTGATACATGGTGCAATATGAGGCCAGAGTGATTTATGGACGCTTATGCATATAACCCATAAAAAATGTGCTCAAGATGATATTAAAATAGCAGCAACACTTAATATTACATAAAAAGCTGGAGCAACTGGTACAGTCGTTATTTTTACTTCAGAATTTATACCCGTGACAGGACAGTGCCATTACGATCAAATAGTTCAATTCATGTGAAAATCCTTCAAAACAAGGCTGCATACTAAAAGTCAGTCAGTTACAACGTAGGACCAGGCACATACATGCATCGGTCCAAGTTGCCATATCTCATTAGCACAGCAAGACGAACACCTGATTCATAGAAGCAGTAAACTCAATGGTGTAATATATAAAGGAAAAATTTTATATAAGGATATAGTACTAAAACACAGAAATCCACTCAAGTTCATGTCTCCATTTTAATTTAAATTATTCGTATTAGTTAACACTTTGCAAATCAGTATTCAGCAATGTTTAGTAATGGTACACTGATTATAAACACTTCAACCAAGCCGATTCACCAATCAATATCGGTTTAAACAGGGGTAGGTAGGACTATTATCTGTAGTGTAACTAATAAAGTATGTTGATTAATTTGACTGAGGATAAATTTCATATTGAAACTAATTTCATGGTAGGGTTCACATTTAAGTGGTACTAAGTAAAGGGAAATGATTTGAAGATTATCTATCTTCATTATGGACTGACGTAAGGTGATATGTGCAACCATGTTTATACTTCAAGATAAGTTCAAATGCACTACTAATCACTAAAAGTTACACATGTGATAACAAATGAACATGCAGCTTGGAAAACTTTCACATGAGAGGAAACTGACCAAATTAATATTCATTTAGGTAAATTGGGTTTGTAGAGATTATTACGTCTGAAAAAATAGCATCACAGACTCAACTTAAACAACTATTGAAAATCGAAAGGCAGTAAACAGCTGTGTTTTCATGGTATGGGACACCTCAGTGGTACGTATTCGTGACCCGAAAAGAAGAGATCGAAACCAGGACCTTTGGTTGTACGCACCAGCCCTTAAGATTTTGAATGCTGAGCCGGAAGCCAACAGTGCACCTGTCTAGCTTCAACAGATTCACTATGGTATATGACTATCTTCTATTGCCTGTCGTGGATAACTGTCTCGAAATCAGCATGGTTGGACTTCACCAGTCATAACTTCTCACCAGTGAGCACAGGATTATTGTTGCTACACGGATTTTGTGGAAATTGATGAATAATCGCAGATGACATTTAGATGCACAGTTTGAGTAAGATGAAAAATACATGAAGTATCCCACTTAATAAGAATGTTTACACAAGATACCGATTAGCTCGAAGGTGCTTTAAACATTTCACTGTCTTTCTGAGTTTTGAGGAAAAAAATATTATCAATACTGTATTTCCAGACCATTCATAACTTTGACAACGAAATGTTCACTACTAACAATAATAAACTATCTGCTCATGAGTAAAAACTCTCAGTAAACTTACTGCAGCTAATGATCTTATCTTCATTAAATTATCGCGCTGACTTTTCGAAACTTTTCGTAGTTCAGCATTTTCTTTTTTCAACTTGTCAATCTCTTCTTTGGCAGCTTGAAGACGAGATTGAATGTCTTTCATCTAGACATGAACAAACAAGGAGAAGACATTAGTAAGTACGTGAATAGACTAGTAAAGGTGGTTGGTATTTCCTTACAAATGCTTTCGCAACAAGGAATGATAAACTGAGAGTGGAATAAAGGCGTTTAATTAAGAGAATAATAAATCGAGTGATTAGAATGGGAATCTGTGCCGTTTGGTGTGCCTGAAATGTGTCAGGCATGTCCAGCCATCAACTGTACGACACTTGAGTAGATTGAGAAAGAAGTTTAATATGATTGGACCAATGAATAGCATCTGCCACTGACTGTTAGGCTGAGACTGTATTGGATGAGAAAGACATCATTTTTCAGAGTTTCGCATCAAAAACGATACCTATCAATGAACACCATAAATTTGAAATCAATCGCAATGGAACAGATGTAGTTGTTCTGTTCTCTTCTCCGTTAAATCTTGGCATTTTAATATTATTTCATAGTTACTGTTGTGGTATTTCACTTGTCTTATTCAACAGCATTTATTATTAATTTCAAAGACCATGTTGACATTCAGATAATTTTTTTCACTTCCTCAGATGAAATGAAGTATGACATCTTAGAAAGATGCATTCACGTTTGCCAGCCGATTACATGCAGTTGATTATAAATACAGCACCAAACCTAAGTGGTGGTGGTGGTGGAGATGATGATGATGATGATGACCAACCTCGAGCACTACTTTAAACGATAGTCACGTACTATCAGGACACTTTATGTTTAAATTTTACCAAGAATTAGGAAAGATATTAAAAACACGTGAGGATAACTACCAAAGGTGTGATATTAGGACAAAGCTGTCGAAAATGAAAGAATGCGTTCTCCTAAATTATAAAGTTGTTTCAGCTATGGAGAAGCATGGTTATCTAAGAATTTGGTAATGAGAAATTAATCCAAAGTACTTTCTATTACACTAGCAACTGCATAGCCTAATGGGTATCTACATAAACATGTAGATTAGGATGTGACACAGTAGTTTATATGATGTTGGGGGACAATGTATGAGTTTTGCTCTCTTAGTGGTGGTGAGACGTCATTTACAATGACATCTTTATCTTTCCATTCCATCCTATTGCTATATACTACTTATCAATATTCAGTAACCCATTTCATTTCCAATAACTTTTGGAAGTATAATGGGACATGCGTCTGCAATCATAACGTTCTTGAGAATTTACATAAACTGATGGCATTCAGTCCATTGATTATGGTAACTATATCTTCGTGACATTTGGAATAGATATTTTTACTCCGATTGTTTCTGTTAAACCCTATCATACTGTAAAAGATTTCATACTTTGGTGTTCTTCGTTCTTAATTTGAGACTCTACCATTGTAAATTAAACACAGCTAATAGCTGTCACATCGTACGGTATTACAAATAACTGTGTACAAACATGGCAGACACTTCATGAATTCGGGGCTATCAATGCACTTCATATGATTTCGTAATAATAGTATCCTCTTTCCAGGTGTGAATGGGATTGTCCAAAATCTGATGCATACACGACGTATTATGCGCTAACCTTTCGACTGACTACTTGAGTGAAAACACAGGAGTGGATGGAAATATATACTGAATTACTAAATGAAATGTATAAACACAGATATATATACTCCTTAAAAAATCAATCCGTTTCCCAGCCAATGATATACACTTATCCTTCAGGTCGCTTCTGATTGTCGTCGACTGACCTTTTCTTCTGCTTCTTCTGATTGGCTTACCTTATCACAAAACCTCCGTCATACCCATCGATTAGTCAGGAAACTTTTG